CTTTATATATGGTGCTTTGAGTCCCCCCTTTCAGCGCGAGTTTCGCCGTCTGTTGATGTTTCAACGCGGAAGAATGCGGTCAATATCAGATGAAACACCTGGCAATGCTTCAGTGGTCGGTGAAGTCTTAATGACATCCTTAGGCTTTCGTCACGAGTTCCTTTCCCAAGGGGATTGCGTGACGAGCGAAAAGAAAGTCTGCGTGTGAGGCTACTCAAACGCGGATGATGTTGGAAACCCAGAGGGAGCTGCGCTGAGAAATATTTGAGCAGCTTTGCGAACAAAAAGTTTCTACATGAATTTTGAACACCATAAGTATTAATTAACAGTAGCAATGAAATCCCTTCGTGTGCGTACACATTTGGAGAAACCCAACTTCAACTACGACTTTGCGTTGTCTGAGTGATTCTTGTATTAGTTTTTTCTTCTATCTCTTTCCCCGCTGAGACGAAGTGAGATGCCACTGACAAAAAAATGGACTACACAGTCCAATTCTTTTCCGTTGAAGGCCAAATTGAAGATGGTTAGAACGCCTGAGCTTTGCACTACATGTAGAACCAAATAAAGAAAGCGAACTATAGAAAAACTCGTTTTAATATTATTATTTCTTTAGTATAACAACAGACAGGAAGGCAAAATATAGCCATGCGTGAGGCTGAGATTTTGGAGCAAATGTCATATAGCTGTTTTACAAATTATAGTGAGCTTAGTTTAAAAAAGGGGACAAAAAATGAGATATTAGGGGGTCTATTACTTCGACAGTGACGGCGGCAAAAACGTCACATAACAAGCAGCGTCGTGTTCTCTCAAATTTTATGGCGATTGTTCGAACTTGTCAAATGTAGGCAAACTCTCTTGGAGTTGATTTCCTCAGAACTTTATCCAAGTTCAGTGAGACAAAAAAAATGCAATGTAATTCATATCATTTCTGTGCGTCCTCCAGAAAACGTAAAAATAAGCATTTTTACGTCGTACTCAAGCACTGTTAACAGAGAATGTACAAAAAAGCGAGATGCACGAGCAAAGTTGCTGGTTTGCAAATCAAACTTACTGCATTTTTGACGTTCTCGCGGCCGTTGCTGTTGTGACATGTTAACCTCCCTATTGAGTAAACTGTTCATTACACAATGCGCTACAAAAAGTAGTTTTGATAGTTGCAGAATCTACATGAAAGAAGAGCCTCTGCCACACTTAAGTCAACAATAATGGTAGCTCTTCTCTCCAGCTCTGCATTTGAAGTTCAAACACTTCTCACATCTCAGCTATTTACATGAGTCACTCGTTAAGTTATCTGCCAGCACTGTCATCTCTATTTCTCTTTTGACCCCCTCCTCCTCTGCCCCCACCACGCCCACCGAATGAACCACCTCTTCCACCTCCACCTCCTCCTCCACTGCTGTGGCCTCCGCGTCCACCTCCACCACCTCCACCTCGGCCACCACGCCCTGTAAAATGACAAAATGACCAGAAGAACATTTTTTAATGCATTAAAATAATACAGTCAACTCTCTCTAAGACGGACACTTTGGGACAGGCACTAAGTGCGTCTGTCTTATAGAGAGTCAAACAAAATGAGTAAAGAAAGGCAGGCACCAACTCTAAGTGTCCGTTTTACAGAGGTGTCCGTCTTATAGAGGTGTCCATTAAGGGAGAGTCGAATGTATTGCTATAGAGCAATGAAAGTCTATCATCATTTTGCTGTATTAAATAACAGATGTTCAGATGTACGTGATAGACTTGAAGTTTGAAAAAAAGTTTATTTATTTATAATGTCAAGAAAACTACTTAAAATTACACCTAAAAATTCAACATTGTATTTAGTAGGGCCATACATTAACTCTCTCTTGTTTGAGTTCACCCCTATATGTAAAGGCTTGAGGTACACAAAAAAGACTTCCAGTTTAAGAGGACAGGAAATCGGATGAAACAATAACCCCTAAAACAAACAATGGATTATTGAGCATGATTTTACCTGGTCTCCCTGTGCCTCTGCCCTTTCCCTGCTTAACCATTTCATCCTTTACCATGTCTATCACCTACGTGTAAGATAAATGAAAATCAATAACAGAAAAAGAGCCAGTAACATAAGGAAGTGAGGGGTTTGACTGTATTTTGTACCTCATCTGGAATCCTGAGATATTTTATATTGCTACCTCTCACATAACATTCGGGTATTCTCCAAAACCGGTCACCATCCTACAGGAAAGAGAAAACAAAAAGACAAAAACAAGCCATGTTATATCAACATTCTCAAAGGAACAAAAAGAATTCTCAAAGGATATACACCTTGCTCACATTTAAACCATTAATTTTGCCATTACCTTATCACCACGTATTAGTATAGGTAATAGCATGATTTGTAGTGATATTTGGAATATATACCACGAGTGATATTTCGAAATTGTTAAACGTAATTTCACAAGCCGTTAGGCGAATGAAATTTAAGACAATTTTGAAATATCACGAGTGGTATTTATGCCAAATATCATGTACAAATCATGCTATTATTTGTTTACACTACTACCCACAAAAGGTTTGTAATTTTCACATGTAGGTATTTCAAATTAAGCTGAAATACCACTGCTCTAAGCCAATCAAATTTCAGAAATCTCTCATGTAGTAGTATAAAACAGCCAACCCTTTGGCCTGACAAAAAAACAGCTGACATTTCGCGACGCCACCTTGGGATTCCCCATGAAGTGAAGTCTGAGTAGTGACTGCAGAAATTCCATACTGATGACACATCATTACACAGGTCTGGGTAGTGCTTCCGATTGGTTGCAGCAAATTTCTTTCATGGCACAACCAGTCAGAAGCACTACCCAGACCTGGGTGGTGCCACGTCATCAGTATAGAATTTCTGTAGTTGTTTCTCAGGCGTTATTTAGCAGGAAAACCAGTGGTGGCGTCACAAAATGTTGGCTGTTTTCTGAGGCTACTAACCCTACTGCACGCCACTCTGCCAACAAAGTGTGGCAGAACTCATCAAGATCTCAAGTGTACAAAGGCATTTTTTCCCAACCTGCACTGACTGCCAACTGAATCGCTAGATTACAAATAATATGGTTTCTCCATGTCATGCTATTGCAAAAAGACGTTCAACCACACGTAATCTTTTAAGATTACGTGTGGCAATGCCAAAATCTTAAAAATTTTGGTATTTGCAGTGAGGGTGTGTGTGCAAAAGTCATGCTCTGCAGACTGGACTACGGGCACAGACCATTCGATTTTCCCAGAAACATGTACATGTTAGTCTGGAAAACATATCTAGCACGATGGAGGGGCCTCGAGTATTTAGAACAAATGACTCACCCTGGAAGTGCAAATGACCTCTCTAAGGTTGATGTTCATCCAGTTGTCACAGCTCACAAGATGTCCATTATACGTCTCACCATTTTTCAATTCCACCAACTGGGGAAGAAAAGGAAATTTTATAAAGCTTGGCCCAAGCTAAAAGGACGTAGATAACCAAAGGAAATGAATTTATTTCTGCAGTACAATTACGACTGTAAAAGAGGCATCTCTTTTTGCAGAAAGTGAGTGTCTAACCCTTACCATCGGATGGTTTTGCGCTGTCCGTAAAAGCGAAAGAGGCAGCTACAATCAAGAAAGAGCCGTTAAGACTTACTGAATAAAAACAGTATAAAATATAATTTGAGAACGTCTTTGAAACGACTACCTACCACCATGTTGAATGTCAGATAAAGACCAGCCAGGTTACAAAGCCTTTCTTGGTAACCGCGCTAAAACCATTGGAGCGCCTGTCGCAAACTGTTTCACTGGCATGTTGCAGAATGAACTCTTCGAAGAAAAGGAAAGATAATTCCTTTAACGTTGCATTAAATAATGCCAAACAGATAAAGTCTAGCTCAGAAATTAGAAGCAAACTGTTAAATAAGTTTTTCTTAGAAGAGGACTTCAAAGTTAAATTTGCAAAGGCATTCAGGTATGTAGAAAGCGTGAAACATCTGTTGTTTTGAGACATTGAGTTGTAATAATTTGAGCATTTTCCTGTAATGTCAGCTGATTTAATTCATGTCTTTTCTCTAGGAATGTGGAGAGTTTTAATGGTGAGCGTCACACCCCGGTATATTGTCTCTTTAAAATGCTTTTGTGCGACATTCATGGTTAAGTGAATCATTTTTTCTTTTTTATCTTTTTCAATAGAAAAAGGATCAGTCATACATAAATCGCCATTTAAGTGCTGTCTTATTCCTAACTTTATCTCAGATGAAGAATTTTTAGAGGCTTTAGAAAAGGAACTTATTCAACTTAGGTTTTTTCAGAAGTCAAATGACTTATATAAATTTCACCAGGTAAGCTGGTAAAAAGATTTGTTGTAACTTTCTTAACTTCTTAATATTATTATCTTCAAATTCTTGTACTTTGCAATCTTTACCTTAATTAATTGACTTTGCTTGCCTTACATACTTTAGAGTGACGACTTAAAAAAGTCATCCAAGCCAAATATCACTTCTCTAAGGTTTGCTCATTAGGTTTTTTTGCTACCAACAGCTGTAAAATACTAGTAAATGATCATATACAACAACAACAACAACAACAATCTTTATTTGTACTCACTCTCTTGCTCAACAATAAATTTTGACAATGAAAATGTTACTAGTAAAATTAGAGTACTGGCTGCCAGGAATAACCATGATAGGGGCTAGCAGAGACAGGCAGCCAGTTGACATCAGCATCAAAAAGAAAATATAATTTAAAGCTCAGCAAGATAATGCCTTTTTCCCCGCTGACTGCTCTGGAGTTTAAGGTTTAAAAAAATGAATATGTTTCTGTTACAGTAAATGGTCTAAAAAGGACATGGTGAGACATGGTTCATCTTGAAATGATAATGGTAGTGTTAACAACTGTTAAATGTTGATTGAACTGAGTACTGAATGATAATCATATGGAGGCTCATTATCCAATTAATTATTGTTAATTATTTTATTTTCTCAGGAACATATTATATAATGAGTTTAGAATGTGGCTCCAGGACATAACTGGTTTTGCTGATCTCACTGATCAAGTTGACATGTCATGCTCTAAATATGAACATACAGGTGAATAACTCATGTCATGACTGCTTGATTCTCCCTACTGATTGCCTTAATCTTTTTTGTGAAACAAAAAGAGAATTTCAATTTAGATCAGTCCCTTTAATTAGCCATTACATTCATAATGCTGTCAATGTCAGGTCAGATCCTCACTGTTTTAGGTAAGCGTCTGCAGCAAGTATTTCTGAAGGAGTTGTTCTGAAAATTCACAGCTGGAAATCACACTGAAACTTTTGCTCTGAACTCCCATAAAAATTTTTGCCACCCAGGCCAGTGTCCTGTAAACTATATATGGTTATATAAAAGTCCTACTAACAAAAAAATATTTGATGTTTAAGATACATTGTTATGCCACGATGATGAACTTGAAGGAAGACGAATTGCTTACATATTTTACTTGGTTCCAGATGACTGGGACAAAAGTGATGGAGGTATTGTTCACATTTTCTCTCAAAACAATAAATAATTGATTCGTTGGACAAGTGTTTAAATTAAATATTAACAAAAAGAGGATTTGTTGTCGGGGATCTACCTAATGATATTAATATTGTAATGCTTGAAAGTATGATATTATTTATTTTTGAATTTACTCTTTTCCTTTTTCTTAGGAGCCCTTGATCTATTTTCAACAGATGGTAAGGAAATAGTTATCATGCACTTGAAGAAGTCGTGGTTGTCTTTTTTTATTGTTTTTGGAATTTAAAGTTGATTTTAATTTTCATTTACTGTAAGTTGTTCCAGATTCAGTACCATATGATTTTATTTAGTCACTTGTTCATCTAATTTTTCATATTAATTTTTCTGACATCAACAGAACATGGCCAACCAGATCAAATTACAACATCATTAGTTCCTCAGAGGAACTCCTTGGTTTTCTTTGAAGTGACTCCTGTTTCATTTCATCAGGTTTGTAAATCAAACATTGCATTAACTGTCTGCAAACCTATGTGTAGATGACTGTAACTCTCTGAGAGCCTTCCACATAGACTTAGTGGCAATCCTATGAGAGGATAAAACTTACAAAATTTGTAGGGAATTGCTTTCCAGTTTAGACCATGTCTGCTTTATGATCTCTTATCATAAATCATGAGAGACAATAAAAGAAATAATATACCATGATAGAATCACTGTAAGTTATCATGTTGGGTGCAGAGAAGTTGGCTTAACAACTCTATTGTTTGTCCCAGTTTAGGTTGCTGAAGTGTTGTCACTTAATAAAACACGACTGTCAATCAGTGGATGGTTCCATGGAGACAACATTGACAGACCTGTACCCTATCAAGAGCCACACCCTAAATCACAAACGCCTTGTGCTATGGAGGTAAATAGAGCAGGCTAGTGAGAATTTGCATGTGAAATCAAGGGATAATCTTGGTAAAAGTCTTCGTATAGTAAGATGGGGTTTAAATTTAATAATTTATTAATTTTGTGTGGCTGTAGACTTGCTGTGTTGTTAAATTGATTTGTTTTGTGTTTTCATTTAGGATGAGGCACTTGTGCAATGGATCAACCCCATGTATCTTGATACAGGTGTTGTGAAAGACATCAGGGCACGATTTAAAGAAGAGTCAGAAATACAGCTTCAGGAATTTCTTCTGGTAAATTTTTGTTCTGTTACAGCACTTGAATTAACTTCTAAGCAGCACCAGTTAAGCTGTCCAGTTAATATACTCGTATTTCTGTTTCTGGCTGGTAGAATAATTATGATCTTTACACATATATGTTGTGGTTGATTTTTTTATCTCAGAAAATTTTTCTTTTTCTTTTGTTTCAACTTCATTAGCATACATTACCATTCCCAAAAACAAAAGAAAAACAAAAATTACCTGAGATAAAAAATTAACTACAACATATACCAAAAGATTTTCTTTACCAACAAAGAAGTCGCAGAAGGACTGTTGAAAGCATAAGCCTTCCTTTCACCTTCAAATAAAACTCTCATTGCAAATGAAACTAAAAGTGTATGAAAAACATAGGTAAGAGGTAACTTTTGAATGTGGCTGTTTTCTTTAGGAAGAGAAATATCATGAAGTGTTTGAAGCACTGCACAGTGCAAATGTTAATTGGAGATGGCGAGGGCCAGCCAATAAAAGGTAACATAGTCGGTCAGTACAAAATGCAGACTGTTGCAGACCATTGTTTTCATCATGCAAAATAGAACAAGACAAGAATAGTCCCATTGTTTTCTAACCCTGAAAACAATGGTCTGCTGTCAGTCTGCAGTCTGCATTTTGTAATGTCCAGTAACATAGTTCATACAGCATGGTGGATGTACAAATACAGTAGTACCAACCAAATTAACATTTTGTTATTTTGACCATATTCTTTGGGCCCAAATTTCAAAACACTTCTAAAGTTAGGGTTTAGGGCAAATGACAAAGTTAATTTGTACTATACATGTGACCTGTTTTTTCCACAACCTCATAAGAGATAGCCATAACCTTTCTGGTTAAGAATGGCTGTGGACGGTTTTTATTAGCTCATTTCCGAATTTGAGAAATTACAAGCTTGAATCTGACATCTGCTGTTTGCTATTAACGTGATTTTTATCTTATTATTTTTCCTTGTCTGCACATTATCCCATTGAAAGGTATTTACAGCAACCTTTACTTTCCGTTATGTGTTTTCTGGAAAACTATCAGTTAGGTTGAACCTCAGTTAATAATTTGTTTTGTATTTTGTGGTAGACATTTCGAACAAGCTGTCATGGAGTCATTGCCACCTATTGTTCAACAGCTGACCAAGTTACTGCAGTCTCAACCGATGTTCAAATTACTAAGGACTATGACAGGACTAGAAATGGCTGACGTGCCACTTAGTGATGATGATGATGGTAACAGTGATGATGATGACGGTGATGATGGAAGGAAGGTATGGGGTGAAGATGGAGAAGTCTGAATGCAGAATTCACGCGCGAAAGTTTGTTGCGGGCCCTAAAAGAGGCTATAAAATGTTCGCGAATTTGAGAAAAAGGGATCTTCGGATTGTACAGTCAAAGTAAAGGTAGAAAGATCGTTCAAGATACACTAAAATTAGAGATGAAGACACGAGTCAACCTTCAAGCTCGCTGATGTGTAGAATGTCACGTAGGACTTGTTTTTCTTGATGAAGTAGACAAAGCCAGTTGGTTGTCTTCATTGAGACTTGTTTCTGTTGATCACCTTACGTGAAAAGCTGAGTCCGTCGTTAAATATTGATTATTATTAATTTGTTACTAATTAACGCCATCTTTATCTCTATAGGATGCTAATAAAAACAGAGAACAGATCCCTAGTTGCCATGGTGATATACGCCGTTGGGGGCATGGTTGTTATACGTTGATTCATGATACCGATCCCGAAGGAGCCGAGTTTGCTTTAGATGCTTTGTTATACATCGGTGGGAAAGGTGAGTACACTGCAGCCTCGTTCCCAGTCGTCCTCGGCGATATCGGATGTGACGTCACCTGTCGAGCAATTGCGCTCAGTTCCAAACCTCTTCCGTCCATTCAGATAGCGCGAACTGACCAGGGGACGAGGCTGAGTACTAAACACAAACGATCTTAACATGGTCACCGCTCTTCTTTAGGCGGAAAAAGGCGAGAAAGAAAAGGGGCTAGCAACAAAAATGAAGACGGTGACTGAAAACGGACCTGAGAGAACGGACCTGAATAATAGTGCAGGAATTAGCGAAAAGAAAACTGTAGCAAAGGATGAAATGCTATTAGGTCTAAGTTGTAAACCAAGGGCCTTATACAAAAATAAACAACCTACTGAATTTATTATTTATTATTTTCCACTCTTTGTTTTGTAAGGTTGGAAGAGCGATTATGGAGGATATACCACGTATTTGACCAGCGGAGAAGACGAAGAGGTATTTTGCAACATTGTTTGGAAGGAAAAAAATGTTCCTTCTTATTGCCAAGTTAATGGCTAGAATGTAAGGATGATCGACTAAACCTTCTCTAATCTTCCTTGTAAGGAGTTCGTATCAAATACGGAGGTTTCTTCTCAAATTTTTCTTTTTAATTGGGAATTTATTTGGGAAAAGCTTATGTACTATGTGCATTATTTTCCTTTGCAAAACAATATAATTTTATAATGAAATGCTGAGGGTCGAAATTGGAGGCTTGAAATGCACTGCGCAGCCGCAATGATAGTCCCACCCATTAAATCGTTACCTTATATCGCTTGTTGAGGACCAGCAGTGAACAAGAGAACTTCGCAGTCAAAGATTGGAGTGTCCTTAGTGAGACAAATTAAAAAAGAACCCTAACATTGGGGTATTCCTTAACTCAAAAAAAATGTACTTTATTTGAGTGTAAATATATGTAGCACGAGAGTACTAATTGAGGGCTCTATTTTTACGTGAACGCCATTTCACCATTGTCATCCGAGCCGCCCGGAGGTCTAGGGCTCTACTCTACTAACTGAGCTAGTCCTTGCGCTCAACTGTGGCAAAAGATTACTGCCTGGCGTAACAGCAAGCCACACTGATTACAAATCTGTTTGTATTGTTTCCCGTAGCTGCTAACCGTTCATCCTCAAGAAAACTCCTTGGCTTTGGTTTACAGAGACAAAGAAACTGTTCGATTTGTGAAACACATAAACCATTCCTTGCTGACCAATGAGGGCTCTGCTGGCAGACACATCAACTTTCTTGACTTTTCTTTTGTTTATTTTGAATGACGACAAAACATCAACTCGGTTAAATCTCCCGTAATCAACCCTTAAGCAATTGCTTCAGGGTTTGTTAAAGTTTCCGCTGTGAGGTTAGCTTTTTAAAAGATCCCAATAAGCTATTCTATAGTTTACTTAAATGTTTAGCTTGAGTGAGGAAAAAAAAACAGAAAGCAGTATAATTTACTAAAACCTTCTCTTAATCCATTTACGCACTTTTTCTTATAAAGAATGATTTTATAAAAAAAGGTTAAATTTGTCAATATTTTAAAAACGCGCCAAAATAATGATCAGTGAAATAAGTAAAAGTACAGGTGCTATGTGATAAGTCTTCCTTGGGAGTTTCTAACCTGAAGTAAGTAGCACAGGGAGTGTTTTATCTCACGTCCAAGAAACCACACAATGATAAATCAAGAGGAGTAAATTAAAGACAATGATCTCTTTCACGATCTTATTTCCAAGCCTCTTGTAACGGTTTATTTGTTTTCAACTCAACTGGACACTTGCGTTCATGATTCACAAATTATTTTGATTCGTAACTCCAGTGAAGTTTAAAACGCAGGCTCGTGCTGCCTCTTGCTTCTAGCTCGTGCCGCGTTCAAATATTTCCTCGAGCTGCAAAACATAAAGTCTTAATTGGCCAACGCATTGTGCGTTGATAAATGAAACTGAATATTTTAACTATACTATAACTGTTTTCGAACAAATTCATCTTGAGTGTACGAAGATGAAAAGCAATTTTTGTCAGAATTTGAATTATCATAATCGGTTATTATTCAAAGTTCCTGATGTAACGATTCTTCGCTAGAGTCACCTTCTGAGCTACTAGCAGGCTTCCTGCTGTTTTCTTCTTCCTGAGCTAGCTCTATCCAGTTCAGAATATCTTTTTCTCTATCCTCGCTAAGGCTAATCCAATTGTTTGCGATCCATTTTGTGCCACGTTTTACATCGCAGCCGCCATGAAAAGAGAACGTATCAAGCTGACCCATCCAACCAGTCATGTTGTTGACCTTGTGGTTGTACCAGAGTACGGCCTTGCCCTTCTCTGGTTTAACTACCACATTTGCTTTGTGGCAATTCTTGGCTAAGTTGCAAACATTTTCAGCGTCACTCATCCACACCTAAATTACAACAGCATAAAAACATTTATTAATTCAACGTAGAAAGGAAAGAAGTCGAAACTGGGATTTAAAGTCACACCGAACGCAGAACTTTCCATACAGAAAGCCGGCGCGCACTTACTGACTCTGCTAATCCTTGCTCCTTTACCGTGGACTCAAACGTTTCTTAGTGCTGTTCGGAAGTTTTCTGTTAACAAGATGGCGAATCGGCTCATTGCTTAGTGCTAAAGGTAAAACATGGTATTCGATACAAAGCTCTTTTATAACTGCACCCACCTCGTCATCAANAACCTCAAATTATGCTTACAGGGCATGCGAAATTCTGTTGCATGCCAATTTCAATGCAAAACCACTCTGGGGCCACCCCCTCTATTACCAGTGAGCAAATCATTGACGATAGGCATGGGAAAAATCCTTGCATGCTAACCAACATTGAAAACGTAGCAGAAATGTCCTCAGTTGCTGAGTCATGCCCTAGGGGAGGTTTTAAAATACAGAATTTCCTGACATGGATGAGGGAATTTTCAGTAAACAGCATGCGATCATGCCGGCTAGGACGTATTGCGTCCGTATTGCCCCTTTTTACAGCTAGCTAGGCTCATTTTTAGGTTCCATGGCCTGAAATGACGAAAAATTCATGCCCTAAATGTAAAAAGTCCAAAAACGTCCTCGAAATTTTAGTTTCCAAGCCGTTCCCAATCAGATCCCGAAACAAATACTTGCACCGGTGCTAAGCGCGGGAAAAATTGGTGGGGGCAACTTGCAAACGGTTTAAGTGTCACACTTGATTGGTTAAGAAAGTGGGAAGCGATTTTTTAGCCAATCACAAAAACGTAGTTCTCAGTGCAAAGCAAAGGAAGCCAAAGCAATTACGAAACTACTTTCGGTTAGTCTGGGCAGCTTGCGGTGTTTTAGGTGAGCGCGCCCGCAGAGGAGCAGCAACAAAACCGCCAGCTGAGCAGGCCGGCAGGACTGCTGTGAGAGTTACTAAATTTTTAATACCTGCAAACTCTACAGTTTCTTAATTCGCTTCCAAGGTAGTGACAACATGGGCTTTTTCTAATGAAGTCTGAATCTAAGTGGCAGTTGTAATGACCCATCGGACCATACGATACTACCTATGACACAACATATTTTCGTTAATGAGTTAAGTATCCTGTTGTCTATTCCACCAATTTCGTTCTCTACTTTTAAAAAATGTCATGCAAATTTTACAGAATCTTACTCCACTGACAAAAAATGTAATAATGTCACGCACATTTTTAAAAGGTTTCTTAAACGACTTATCCTTCAAATGAACTGTCCTGTCCAATTCTGATATTTTAGGTCGTATTAAATGTTGGAATTTTTACCACCACTGTCAATTTTGGAAAATTGTGATGTAGGAGATCTTTATTTTCATCATCAACATCATATTGTATTCACTTCACCCTTAACAGTTTAACCGTTTCTTCCTCAATACGGATGTTCTTTGCTTACAATTTTATTCAGAATCATGTTTATGTGTCTTTAATTTTAAATTTACGCACTTTTCTTAGTAAGTTCATCGTGAACTTATCCTGAGGACGTAAACGGTTGTTACTTCTCTAACGTTTCGAAGGAGAGAAGCGACATCCGGAAATACGTCTGCGTTCCTAGGCTATCAAAAACGCAGCTTACTTGTAGGTACTCGCTTGCTTTTATTATGTCCAGTGGAAGCATAGTGAGTCGGTGCACCCTGCAAAGATAATCTTGTTAGGACAACGAAAGTATCAGTCTGATATCATGACTATTCATTGTATTTGGTGTAAATGTGAATGGGGTCTCAAGAATAGCAGGACGTTGCCTTAGGTCTGTATTCCTGAAGACAAGGCAGGAGGTTGCACAGCCGATTAGTTTAGAGGGCTGGGTTTTAACTCCGTCGTCCCATATTCAGATACTCGATGTGGCCATTAGCGGGATTTATTTCTCGTTTGCCCCGTGTTCCCATCTCCTCGGTCTTACTTTTAAAGAACCGACTGGTTTGCCTTCGGCCAGCTGGGATTCATGATATGTTCATTCAGATATTTGTTTCTGTTTCTTCTTCAATTTATGGGCCGTTGTCACTTATTCCGAGATTCTTGTTCGGCCGATTTAAAAGATCACTCTATGTTAGCCTGCGAGTAAACCCTTCCGTTTGGCTGTCAAGGGCCAAAAGGAAGAAGCTTATACTCAGTGCGGACTAGGGAATTGTCACTTCAATTTCTTTTCGGCTCTCCTCACTCATTTTACACACACTCCCTCTCTCTCAGCAACATTGTTGGATGTTACATGTTGCGTCTGTTTGCACACCCTGTTGCATGTTGTTGGATGTTGTTGCGTGTTGTTGTGCAAAGTTTGAAACCGGTCAAACTTTTCAGCTAACAACTCCCAACATTTTTTTTGTTCCGTGATCCCCGAAGCGTAGCGCAACAATGTTGGATCCGTTTGCACAGCTCTTACAACATTGTTGTGGCCACGCACGATCATTACGCATAGTTTACAAAGACTTATGGGTTGTATCCTTCCCACGATGCACTGCAGGTGCCAACATTGTTGGGAGTTGTTGCATCCGTTTGCACACCACTGCCAACACGCATGCAACAACTCCCAACATTGTTGGCGCAACAATGTTGGGAGTTGTTGCGTCCGTTTGCACGCAGCCTTAGGCCCAGTTCAAACGTCGATCTTTTCATGTACCGAACTTTAATACCTATTTAGGTCGACCCAAGTGATCTAAGTTCGACAGTTGATTTAGATGTCGATCTTAATTGGTCTGACTCAATTCATTTTCACGGTGTTCAATGGTCTAAAATGCTTACACGTGAAAGTAAATTTTAGTAAGTTATTCCTTACGGTTTGGTACATGAGAAATTCGACGTTTGAAACGAAGTCGCTCCGCGGTCGAAATTCCCCTGTGAGCTACTCGATCTTAATTCACGGATCGACTTAAATTAGAAATGTCGATCTTTTCATGTACTTAATTGAAGGGATTGGGTTCGGTACATGAAAGATCGACATTTGAACTGCGCATGTCTTACCTTTCCTGTATGGAAGCGACGACACTGTCTAAGCTGCCATTAACCTTCTCTATCCATGTCTGCCGACTGTGGCGACTTTTTGTGTGTGGTTGTTCCCCCTTTATCTTCTGTATAAACTTGGCGATCTCTGGGGTATTCCTTTGTTTGAATTCTTCAAAGCTTATATTCTCTACAAACATAGAGGTCTAGATATAAAGCAAGCTGTTCGCTCATTTGTACGCCATTGATAGGGAAGACTAGGCCCGGTTCAGAAGCCGAACTGATCATGATTCCAACCTAATACATTGAATTAAGTAGATAAAAAGCTCGGCGTCTGAATCAGTTAGGGAAGCCGTTCTTCCCCCCTGGCCTGGCCGGTAATTTCCACTTTCAATCGACTTTGGAACAGCTTTGATTCAGACGCCGAACTTTTCATGTACCGAACCTAATGCACAAATTATTATAACGTATTTTGTGAGCAGTTTGACCGAAATGACCATTTTTCTCCTTGTTTAAGTTCGGCTGGAATTAAGATCGGCGTCTGAATCAATTCAGCCGGTCTAAATAATTTGGATCGGCCTTAATTCGAATTAGCGGGTTCAACTCATAAGAAGTTTGGCGTCTGAACTGGGCCTTAGCCTCATGGGCAAAAAGATTCAATTTCATACATACCGTCTTGGTCTTTGTCCAGTTCTAAAGCTGAGTACCTGCCGTAGGACAGATAATGTAAATGTTGTAGTTAATTTTTTATCTCAGGTAATTTTTCATTTGTCTTTTGTTTTTGGGTATGGTAATGTATGCTAATGCAGTTGAAACAAAGGAAAAATAAAAATTACCAGAGATAAAAAATTAACTACAACATAAACATTGTTAATGGTCTAGACTTATGACCCAAATTTTCCCAAGGTATTCATACCCGTAGCAGCGGATTATTATGTTTATAGAGTTCCCAAGTGTGACGTCATAAAAATAAATTTCTGAAATTATTGGATTTGAACTATGAAATTTATTTGGGTCCAACCCCCAAAAAATTAAAAGGGTTTGTACGGAGTTATCAGAGCATAACTGGGCTAAAATATCCCAGTGACAATTTGCCTCGAAACTCTCATTTTTGGCAAGTATTCCTCTTGGACGTTATTTTAGAATATCCTGACAAATCCCTTAATTTCAGAAATTGATTTATTGCTCTTTTGTCTCAACTGCTGTGTTTGACGCGCAAGTTTGTAACATGCACAATTTGTTTGACATATACAATGTGTCACCTCTTTGATTCGCACGTGTCTAACATGCTCATCTCACGTGTTTGATAGGCATACGTCTGACATGCACTTCTCACGTGTTTTATCCCCATGGCTTTGACATGCACATGTCACGTGTTTCACGCGAATGTGTTCTATGAGGTTATTTCTTCGAGCACTTACATTTTCAACAGAGTGGGTTTGTCTGGAGAGAAGTCCAGTAGAATTTCCATGTTGTGAATCATCTGTAGGAATGAAATATTCATTGATGAGATCCTTGGGAAAACATGTTACATATACATGATTTTAAGGGAAGGGTATCGTGCGTATGGGAACGTTTAACTGATTAGTAGTCAATATAATCTCTGCAAGTGTAGATGTTGAAATGCAAGATTTACGATCCGCAAGGTAGACGCTACAAATTTCCTAAGAGATGGTTGTTTGGTGTGTTTTATTTATAATTGCCGCTTTTGTGGGTATTCAGGCCTATATAGTTATTATTCATTGTTTGCAGATATTTTACCTCGTCCATATCTATCTGCCCATCACGGTTTTGGTCCCATACTTTAAAATATTCCTTCGTGTTTTTACCAAGTGACATCGTGTCATGTTTTTCGCCTTCCTTTACAGTCTGTGATGTTTCCAATCCTCCATTCTTAGCTAATTGAATGATATGGTCACACTCCTCATCAGATAGAAAATTGGGAATTTCTGTGGGGAAACATGAAAAATCCAAAAGCATTATGTCTGAAAGCCTTTGGTGTATTTGTCCCTCTGTCGAGGAATTCTAGTTACATAAGTCAACACGTAAGAACGTTTTAAAATAAAGTGCTACGCCTACGTCCATTACCACTCCCGCTACCACTACTATCACCATCACCGTTACCGTCAACACCAGCCACAAATGCCACTACTATTACCACTACCAATACTACCACTACCATTACTACCACCACCACCGCTACCATTACTACTAAAAAAACTAGTACCACTACCTATACCACCACCGCTACCACTACTGTCACCACGACTACCACTGATACCACCACCACCACCACCACCACCACTATTACCCCCACCACTACTATTACGTGAGAGTAGGTAAGAGATAACAGTTGGATAGTTACCTACCGAATATGGGTGGCTGTGTGGCTGCTGTAACCATCTCATGTTCAACGCCTTCAGTTAAATTAATCTTTTGGATATGCCCGACCTTTAAAGGAAACGTGTTATCTTCAGAACGCTAATAAATTTAATAACTTCGAAAGTGCAGAGATCACCTTTCTTTCGAGGCAATGAACAGACTGAATTTAAGCTGCAATGGGTTCCCAAACAGGTTTTTTTATAGCCAAGATTCGGGATTTTAATTGTCCGGTGTGAAAAATAAGCTACTTTTTCTTGAATGTTGAAAAATCCTTTTACTTTATCGGCTAATCCCTTTCCGGAACATACATATAAAAACGCCTTACAGAGATTAGATGATGAGCGAAAAAGTTTCACCTGCGTGGTGCGCTTACAATAAACACGTGACAAGGACGAGGAAATAAGGGGGCAAAACGTGGCACCTTCGTGGTACGCTCAAAACAGACACGTGACAAGGATGATGGAAATAAGGAATAAGCGGGGGAACGTGCCCCAGGTACCTGCGTAGTGCGATCAAAATGGACACGTGACAACGACGAGGAAAATAAGCCTTTCCTTTGGTTAAAATCGACGGGATTATTGGATTGAATAATCTTATTTAATTGATCCTTTCTACTTGGTTTTGAAATCCCGCTCTGAAACACATCTCAAAAAGCATTTAGTTACCAATTTTAAAACGTCTTCGGTTTTAGGCTTATGTTGATTTACCACTCAACCTTGTACACATGAAGATAGTTGAATTAACGCCTTTATATTTCGCAGAAACCACAAGATATCAACTGTAAGGTATTCAGGTGGTGATGAGCTTTCAGTCCAGACAACAGATTAAATGAAGAACCTTCAACGTTCACAAGTAGATATCGAAAATTAAAGCCGTGAAAAATTATGGGCATAGACGCGTAATGAGTTAGAATATTGTTAACTACGAGCCAAAGGCCGTACTTCACCTGATCCGAACTTAATTTTCAGTTTGTATCGACCAAAATTATTTTCAAATGCGTTTGTTGGGTCAAGCGGCCGAACATAATAAACCATTAAGCTCTTGTGAAGGACGGTAATTTACCCAGGATCGTACTGTACCTTTACTGGTTCCACTCGTGGTAGCTTGAAGTTCTCGAAACGTTGAAAAAAACAATCTGGATTCTGCGCCGAGCATACAGACGGAACAATCTCTGCTTGGTCCTTTCCTGTTGCTACTAGTGTAAAGAAAACTACAAAAAGAACGGTAAAACCAGGAAATTTTCGAGTCCGCAGACAGTGTTCCATCGCCCAAAAAATAATCTGATGAGTTCAACAAAAGCACGAGTTGATAATTATGCAAAAAATTGTTCCCAAAGTAATTGACACTTAGCCCGATATCTGGAACGCTGAACAAATATATAGCTTGTTATTGTTTTAGTAAAAACGTCTGCGAAAGATGTTGTATTGTCTTAATACCATCCGATTTATATGCCAAACCCCAAGAAACCTATAAATAACTGGTTTATTTTATTTCAAGCTTTTTTTATTTAGTCTGGGTTTATTCCTTCCAGGAATAAGTATATCTTGTAACGTCTTCCGGTTCTGAAATCTGTGTAAAGATATTTTATCGATTTGAAAATAGAACCAATATTAGTCTATGTGAATCTTTTCTGCCTTATTTTTTTAATGGGAGTTTCTGATAGTAAACTGATGCCCCTTTTCTCCTCCACTATTAATTTTTTTGTTTTGTGAAGGAGAGTTTAAAAGCTTTACATGTGAATTCGTATGATGCTTGTTTTATTTTCCTTGCTATTATTCCTGTCTTCAAATGCGGATTAAACATAGGAAATGTCACTGCTCACAAAAGAATTTGCTTAGGTGATTACCCATCTGTTATCAATGCTTCAAATGTCTTTTGAGAATATAAGTTTATTACTCTTCTACATAGATTAATTTTTAGCCGCTAAGACTATGCCTGGCCAAAAATTTATTATTTTTCATTGCCGATTGGACTTTGTATCTTAAAATATAGCAAAATATGGAAACCTGACGGTTGTTTTTTGGTTTTCTTGCCATCTGGACTCGTGCATTTCAAGTAACGTATTCATGCGGTTTCGCTTGTATTGCTTGTCTTATTTGAACTGATGCTGATCTTAGGTTACTAAATGTGGGAAAGTTCCTCTTGCAGTTCTTTGTATTTACTTAAAATTGTTTAATATTTAACCTTGAACAAGACAAGGTAAAACGGTCGGCTTCAAATTGGTATCAAAGACCGCATTTAAATCTTGCTACTCAAATGTTAGACAAGGAAGATTTCAAACGTTTTGTTGAAAGAATCGCCAAACTGCTGCTTCAAAAAGATAGCAAGAATAAACAAAAATACAATTTGAAGGATAACAACTACTAGAATAAACATCCCTTAGCCTTAGGCTCTGTCTACGTTATACCGGATATATTTTTCATGCCGACATGAAAAATACCGCGCCCTGCAATATGAAGAGAACGACCTGGAACTAGAACAAGTTGTTCACACACATCAGACATAGTATTGGAGAGGTTGGCTGAGATGGTTTAGTGCACTAAATCCTAATCCTAACTCCTGAAGTACTTCCGTTTCAGTGGGTTCCAGCCCTCTCCGAACTCATTCACTTCCTCAACGGAAGAGACGCATAGAATCCTATCCGCCGGATGTGACGATCCACTTCCAAAATCTGCGCGGCGCAGCCTCTGCCCGTTGCAGAAACAATGCTGGAATCACGGCTCTTATGTGTGAACAAAAGATATGGTTTTGTGCTGGCGCTAGATTTCTAAAAGTCCTTTTTTTTTCTTGGTTGTTTATTCCATTTTAAAGGACTTTTCATACCTGTTTGGCGCGAAATTCACCGGTTGAAAATTCTGCAGGTGACGTCATGGCAGTTGACCAATAGGACAGTGAGTGATATTTCACCCCGCTCTCGACACAGCAAATTTCAATCATTTTTTTCCCCGCGTGAATTTATAACATGATTCAAATCCATTCAGGCGAAACGAGTCGACCTCGAGACTTCGTCGCTCGTTCGGTCGCTGCGCTCACTTTTAAGAACTTATAAGAGGTCGAATTGTAGCAAGTCTATGCCGGCGCGAGAGCTCTCCGGTTTAGTTTAGACACAGCGTTAGGCCCGGTTCAGACGCCGCTCCACTCATGTGCCGAACCTAACTGATGAATTAAGTACGGCAAAAGAGCGGCGTCTGAATCAATTTGGTACGGCAGTTTTAGTTTGGTGCGGCAAAAGCGTAAAGTTCGACAGAGTCTGTCGAACTTTTGTCGAACTTAACTTAGGCTCGACACACGGTGCGCCGTCTGAAACAGATGTCGCGCCAGTGTCGCCCCAAAGACGAACTTATTCAATAGGTTCGGCACATGAAAAGTACGGCGTCTGAACCAGGCCTTAGATACGCCATCTTAGATCTTTAGAATGGCAAAAAAAGAGGGTGGCAAAAGGATGCGTCCTACATCTCAGAATCAGATTATAATGAAGTGAATATATTACCCTTTAATTTTATCCATTCTCTCTGTGCTTGCATGGTATCTTTGATTACAGCGGAAATCAGCTTTGATCATAATCGTTTAATTATCATCGACATTTCAATTCATTGCAAATTCGTTGCTTGCTAATTTCTATTTACAAAAGTTGACGTTAAGTAAGTCAACAGTTCATTGTGATGATTGCAAATGCGGAGAACACTTCATTTAAGTTTTAGTTTCGCTAAGAGCTCAGATTCTATAAAAGTTTAATCTTTATTGAAGTAAATTTTGAAAACATGATAATAGGATTTTACAAATTCTTTTAAATGCATCTATTTGACTCGAATTTGACGCTAAATCGTTAAATACAACGTTGGTGTGATAAGCAATTAATGAGTGCATTAGACTTAGCCTCTGTCCATTTCGAGCTTGACGTTCTAGTTTATGGAGTTATTACTTTGGAAAGAGGCAACACAAGTTAACGAAAATTCTAATGCTTTCAATTGTTCTTTAGTCTAACATGGCGGAAAAGACCTTGAAAAAGTCAAGTTCCCGTCAGATGTAAGTTGTCGCAGCTCTGTGTAATGCCGGAGTCATCTCCTGTTGTCTCATCATCCACTTCTTCCAGCGTCTAGCCTTATGAGCTCTCTGGGGCGGCTGTTGCTTTGCAGGCTACTCCGAACTGACTGGATCTAAAATATTATTTCCAAGTTTTGTTTTGTACCCCCGAGGTCGACCGGGCGGTATTCTCAACTCTGTCGGTGCTTTTTTCTTGTAGCAGGAAATTGATTTTCTTAAGGTAATTGGATCGTCCTAAGAGGTCCAAGTTTAACAGCGAGAAATGTATAGTTGTCATAAAGGCAATGCCTTGTGTGGAGAAATTCTTCATAGTTTACAGAACCATCGATTCAATCTCTTTTATACAGAGTTTCAATCTGGTATTCCGGTCATGCGAATCAGTGCTCTGTAACCTTCTGTATGTCTTAGTTTTTCAGTATTAGGCGTTCGAAGAACAGCCCAATGTAAGTAATAGCCCGTTAAAACCAATTGCAAATTTGTTTAATTTTTCGTGGGTGAATTGCGAAAAAGGATAGACGCAATTCTTATTTCCCGAATTTTTTAATCTAAATCATAAAACTCACTTTAGCTTAAAATTCGACCTCGACTCGAAATTTCAATAACTGAAAACCGCACTCTCAAGCACTGCCGGACTAAACCTTTTTTTTCTAAACTTGCTTTGCCTATTTTTACATACAGCTTGAGGCGGGATTTTTATAAACCTAACACCTTTTTTAAGTAGCCAAAATTGAGTCGATGTCTAATTTATTCTGAACACTTATTTCCTTTTAATCTTGTATTCAGTTCTTGAGAACAAATTATATTTTAAGCTCTTATTGTGGTGGCAGAAAAAACACAAAGATGTTGCTGAAGACTAAGATAAAGATCAAATTAAATAGACATTTCTGCCGACATTATGCGCCACAAAAATGTCAACTTATCAAACATTAATAAAGTTTTCTGAAAACGTAAACTGTATTCGATAAACCTCGTTTTGTTCTTGATATTTCCGCACCAAAATTGCAATTCTATTGCCATCAACTCATTTTTTGATTATTCTGAAACTTAGCAACGACATCGGGTTTTTACTCTGCCGAAACCTCCAATATGGCCGCCGTTCAAGGCGCAACGAACATCAAACTGGTCATTGTCATTCTTTCATTATTTGAAATATCGAAGGAGGAATTCTATCCACACTCTGCCGATCATCTGGAGTTTAAAAGGAGCAAACTGCTGCAAGATTTAAAGGTAGGCCTTTGAAAAAAAGGCTATGAAATGAGGGATTAAATTTAATACAAGGAAGTAGGAAAATAATGATGATTGTTATTGTTACATGTAAACTTAGTATAGATGGCAGTTTTTGTGGAAGAATATAGTGTTTTGTGTTTATTTGAAAGGGTAAAACAATACTGACAGGAAAAAGGATCAATTAAATATAAAACTAAGGTTTTATAATAAAGGTCTCAGTTAACAGCAATGGTTATTGCGATGATTTTTATGGTCAGGGTGAATTAAAAGTTTTCTTTAGTTAAGTTTGGAATTAATTGGCGTCTCCTGATGGCCGCTATAATGAGTGAGGAATTCTGAAACTTTTTTTTTCTGATAACTTCTCTCAATGGTATTGTGTAAAGTATATTAGGATGCCGGGATATGAACATTGATTCCATAGGACAAAGTGGTCCGAACCTGATTCGTAAAACCCACCGGCCCCATTAAGATCCAGACTTCCGCCACATGTGAAAATTAACCCATTGATTTCCAAGATCTAGAGTGACTAATATCAACTTTCTCCTAAAAACATCAATAGATTACCTTGAAAAAAGGTGACCACTTAAGGAAAATACTTTGATCGTTAGTCAAATTCTCTTTACTTATTACTTCAAGAAATGTCTAAAGATCGGTCTGGAGAATTTGTATGTGGATATTAGGGCTGAAAAGGTTAATTTGTGTAGTTTTTTCTTCGCTCTTCCATTGTGACATGACTGTGACATTGATCAATGATTAGTTCACAGCAAACCTAAAATGTTTCTTGGAGGAAGATGAATGGGTTAATTTATTTAGTTATTCCCACGGAGTTAACGCGCATGTACACTCTCATTAGACTTCTGATAGCCACAACAAATTAAGCAAAAGTGTGACTCCAGGCAATTAGGTAACTGGAGTAACAGAGTCGTAATATAATATATGAAAGCTTTGAACACCTGTCTCCAACCGATTTACCAAATAAACTAAATTTCCATTT